TGAATTTTACGGAGACTTGCCACGGTCTCCAACCCTCCTCCTTTCTCATCCGGGCTTGGGACCGGCCAAGTCGGAGTTAGGTTTATAATTATGAATTATTTAAATACTCTATATGTCTGTTAGTGACAATGATCATGATCGTCTGTAATCGATAAAGAAAAGTCAAGGACTGACCTTTTGATAAAAGACTCTCCATATTCTGTCGGTAAAATATCGTCGATAAAATGTACGATGGTCATTCCTCGCTTATGATAATTGAAGGTTAGAGTGTTATCAAAAACTTGATGAGACCAGTTTCGACGATTTGATGAGTGGTTGAGATTGAACTCTAAAATTTACTGCTATATTACTAAGATGGGATTAATCTGCCGCTAATTTAAATCGACGTATTTTGCACATATAATCTTGTTGCATCAGTTGTGGCCTGACAAGGTTACAGTGTGCGAGCGTTAGAAAGAATGAAATAAATCAGTTGAACTGCAGTGCTGAAATCCACACTGATGTTCCTTTTCTTTTGCTCATCCGTGAGACGAAGCCCGATCCGTGGTTAAGAGAGAACACCAGACTCTGAGCCCGAGCTCGGTGAGGAGAACTCTTAGTGGACCAAAGCGATCATCTTAAATGTCATTTGACGTGAGTAAACGGCAGGGGGACACGCTGTCCCAACTGCCTGACAAGCGTGAACTGTACTCAAAGCCCTTTGATGGAAGGAAACGGAAAGCAAGCCAAAAATGGCCTCCAGTTCCCAGATTGCAACCGTAACATTGCACGACACTGCCCGATGGATAATCAATGGACTTCAGCAGTGAACCCAGTCGAAAGATTTCCGTTCAGCTGGGACGATGAGCGAAAAGAGCTTTTGAGACAAATGTCAGAAGACAAGACGAACGTGGGCATCGAGACTAGACAGTGATGATTCTTGCTAATTACGATTAAACAGTTACTTTTCAGCATGTACCGAATATCATAACCGCCGTGGGGTATGTGCATTGCCAGATTCTTTTCGCACTATGGTGGTTACAACAAAGATGCTTTTCATAACAACTCTCTTGCCATGTTTTACTGTTATTTATAGGCCTAATGGAAAATTACGGGCAAAATTTTATTTAATTATGCGGTCATTTATTATCGGGGAATTGATTACGCGGAAATTATCTTTTGTTCTAATCGCGCTACCTCCAATTTTCATGCTGCCTCTAAAGTTCAATTGATTTATCATTAACCGAGGCATGCTGTCGCCGGCCATAAAGCAGGCCATGGTTAGAAAAGGATATTTTATGTTGATAAGACGGATGTTTACCTAATTTTGGGTGGACGTCGAAGGTATGCTTTATTTATCATATTCACCACTACGTAGGTTTGCATAAATGTCAAATTACATTTTGCTCTTCTTACAAAGAGCAAGATGCATATACAGAAATGCACGAGTTGAACATGATCTGGACAATTACGTGATAAATTGAAAAATCAAATTTAAGCGTATGTAGAAGAACGCATGTTGAAAGTCATGATGGGAAATCAATGAACGGGAGAATTGACAGAACGAAACTTCGTGAAAGGTTGAGTTGAGGAACGGCAACAGGTAAGTTTATATCACAGAAGAAAATAATCATACGTGTTTCTGAAAAACCTGCAAAATTAATTTTGAAAAAATAATAGCGTAGCATTCACACACAAAACAAGCATGGATACAGTAATATTTCAATCTACAGGTATAGTTGAGCGGCATACTGCTCTCAGACGTAAATGTTGCAAAAATCTGAAGAATGAATTCTGCATGACGATCTGCTCGATGAAAGTCACAGAAGTCTACAGACTGGATGAAATTCGTAATTAATCGATTAGACAGTTATTGACGCGGCACAGGAACGGTATGAGCTTAAATCCGTGTGGTCTACGCCCAGAAGTTTTCAGAACGTAGCTCTGCGCCGATAATGTCGATCTTGAACGTTGTAGCAGCGCAAATCTCGCTTTGCTTCTCCAAAAATCTGTGGTACATTTAAAAGCGCAAATAAATTCTTAAACTCATTCCCATACCATGTCATGGGTGGTTTAAAGTTCAAATGTGTTCTGTTTCCATGTTCTATGCAGCGCATGATTGCAACGTGTCAACCAATCTTGCATCGGTGATCATTTGGGTATGAACAAAGAAAGTACAGTACAAAGTACCATAGAAAGTACTTTGGTGAGTTGATGTTCAATCCAACTGGAGGAACACTTGATTGGCCAGAAATTGACTTGTTAATTAGGCTTCACGCCGCAGGTATGCAAAAGGAGTAAAAATGACATAAAGAAGTCGTGATTCATTTAGTTGTTTTATGAATCGAATACAGTATTTGATTAAAAGAGTCACTTTGTTGCTGTGCCCGTCCACAAACGTAACCTTACTGCTGTAAAAACCATGACAGTTTTCTAGGGTGTAGATGAAAAACAAGAATGGTATGCATTACGGTAGCTAATGGCTCTTCTGTGTTCGGTTACTCTGGCTTTAGGTGACCGACAGGTGTTGCACATGAACATGTGATTGAGGTTATTCGGTGTAGCTTGATTGATGAACTTTCTACATTCAACTGTGGGACGAACATGAAAGTTCTTTTGCAGCAGGTTTCTTTCAAGTGTTGCTACTTCACAAATATACAGAATTAGTACATTTTTAAAAGTCGTTGATTCTAAAAGCTCAGTAACGATCATGCAAAAGTATTAAGTTAGCTTTATTTTAATGAAATTTATGAAGCGAAGCAAAATGAAGTGTATTATCGATATTTTGGATTGTCGACTTTACAGCAAGCGCTGAATTTCTCTTCTACAGCTGTTAGTAAGATGTCAACTCCAGAGATGCTGGCAGAAAAGCCGTCGAAACGATGAACAGAGACTGCACGAGGTGTTCATTTAAAAGGTTGCCGTTCTCTTTTAGTTGTGGAGACTCCTGCCTCATGATGTCCTTCGGGCAGTTCCAATCTGCGGTCTAGAAGACAAGCTCAGTGATCCATGTTGTGACCATGTTTAGTTATCTGCAGAAGTTGCATGAAAATCTGCGTTTACGTGATTTCCATGGCTCTAATATCAACCAATCGCTGTTTGGATAATAGGAATCATAATCACCTGCAAGAAAAACAGAGAATCGTTATACTACTATGTAAATATATAATCACTCTCAGGAATAATGGTGGATAATCGTCACATTCATGGCACTTTCTGCCAAGGGTGTGTATCGTCTCTGTAGTTTGCATCTTGTTTTACTTCCAAATGTTTAGCCAACTTCCATTTGTAGAAGACCTCATCATGTTCAGTTCATTCCATTTTCTTTATGGCCTTCGACACATGCCAATGATGCTGGATTTCGCGTCACATATTGAACTTGGAAAAGAACTAAATAAACCATGCTCTGAACTAGACGCATGGAGAAATTGGCAGATTTTATTTTTAACGTAATGGTCGCACTGTTCTAAAGAAACGATAATTTAACCGTGCCACTGATAGAATGAAATGTGATAAAAAAATTGTTACATTTTTAATAGATTCTTTGAATTACACATGTTGGTCAAAAATTCTTTATCGCCAAGACCTTTAAAGAGTCTACTGAGCATACAAATGTTATTTATCAAAATCCCAATATTCTGAATCAAGCTAATGTCATTAGCAGTGTCATTATATAGCAACGAATGTAAAAAAATAGTCAGCAGCGTTGTTGCATACTGTGAAATCATTTTAAGACTTACTTTTCAGTCATATCTTGATATGTCTATCAGTTATATTGCTGTTTAAGCCCACGAGTTTTGATGTTATTCAGTCCAGGCCCAGTACATCGCTAGCTCTTTTGCTGTTCTCGTCCAGACTAATGATAAGTTCTCGTTATTGTATCTCTTTGGAGATTGCATACTTGTATCAGGTGCCCTTCTGTTTACTATAGTTCTTTCGCGCCGTGACTCTTCCATTCCCGTCAACAATATAACTCTCTATTACCAGTGCAGAGTACTGATATTGTTTCTGCATCTATCATTATGTAATGTCCTTTTACGATCGATCTAGTTAGGTCCGAAATGTTGCGGTTTTTGTTAAATTATTGCTGGATAAAATTTATATGTGCGGAAAGTAAAATCCCTTTATGGCCTTTGGCGGTGCAGCGCAAGTGACACTTTTTATATCATTGTAGGAGCATTATCTTCTGTGTCATTTTTTCAATGACGCCATGATAACAGAGGTACCGACCATGGCATTTCTGTTACGATTTGATAAGAGCCATCTGTGGCCTGAATCTGCGACAGGTCTTTAGCCCATAAGCATATACACAGAAATGTATTAGACGATTGCATCCTGCGAGCCAAGAAAGCAAGTCGTTGTGTACGTACTACAACAGTGACAAAATCCAGTCGTGTGTGCTGCTCAGATCAAATGCTGAATGGCATGCACCCGAGGACGGTCTGAGCTTCGTCGTAGGATGTGCTCGGTATGGAAGCCGGCGGGGTTCAACGAAGACACCTGTATCCGTCTGTTGGAACAGCAGAGCACGATTCTGTACAGTATTTTCCGTAGCTCCGGGTGCAGGAACGCGTAGACGAAGTTGTTCAGCGTGCTGTTGAAGCAGCCCAGCAGCCAGATGTAGATGGCGGTGATTTGGAAGTACGGCATGGCCTCGTCAACGACGGCGTAGAGCGTGAACGGTATGATGTGGAACAGGAATATGGGCACGATCAACACGCTGACTCGCTTGGTGACCGCTTCCTCCCTCTGTCGGCGCGACTGATCAACGCCGACGTTGTAGCGCTTCATCCACATGGTGACCACGGCGCCGATGTACACGAACACTATCAGGAAGGACACGACCAACGTCGTGTACAGGTGGTAGGCGAAGTGACTGACGCCGACCACATCGTCGTGGTAGCACTTGGCACTCATCGTGGTCAGCTGGTGGCCGCATGCCAGTCGCAGGGCGATGACCGCGCAGAAGTCGACCGTTGTCGTCACGTTGATCAGTACGATCATCCTGACGGTCAGCGTGGCGTTGAATACGCGTGACCAGCTGTACAAGTTGACTATGGCGGCACGGTCGATCGAAATCAGCAGCAGATGGTAGCTCAGCGACAGAAAGCCGGTTTCGAAGAAGTATATGTGAATGCCTTGAGAAAAGCACTGACCGGTGGTCATCGGAAAGTCGTGCGTCAGTTCGATGAAACCTCGTCGAGTGGACGACGCAAGGTAGCCGATGCTTACCTGAAGGCTGGCAATTGTCAGTCCTAAATTTAGAACTGGTAGAACCGAAATCGTTCAGTTGGCTAAGATTGCGTACGCATAATTTTGAGGAATATTTTTCGACACTCACGTACTCATGGCGTTGATACAACTGAGCGGAAATCTACTTTGCATCTTGATAAAAATTATATTAATCGCTAAATCCCTTAAACAGCGAATCGACTCAGGGAAACCAGCCGAGAACCAGGTACCAAGTAATCGTGGTCGACCTTTGAGCAATAGGCACAACATGGTGTTCTAGTGTAATCATACCAGAATGAGCAATAGACATGGTAATGCTGCCCAACGCAAGTCCTTCTTAAGGCTGCAGTTCGCTTTGACACATCTGGTAGTTGAATGTCCAGAGTAAAAAGGGTCAAGCACCCTACGGTGGGCTTCAACACAGTACGTCACAAATCACCGAACGTAGAGTACTTCAGGAACCCTGACACCGTTTCCGTCCCAAGGGCCCACTTTATGAGTATCGCCAGGTTCTGTAATGAGTTAGTTTGGAGTTTCGAAGGCTTTCAAAGTACTCCACTTTAGTCATCATTGAAGCACGTCTTCTTCACGAATGCAGCAATGTAAAAGCAACTGCGCAGCACTGTAAAGATTCGCAGGAGGCATTTGCAGCGCCAGCGCAGGATGCATTCGCAGGAAGCATTTGCAGCTAACGTATTCATTACATGGCATAGACTATTCCATCTATGTCATCAACATGTGTTTAAACGAAATATTAATGTGCAAATTCATTTCAACGACATGATAAAAAATTTATTTTAATGACAGGTGTTTCAATTTTGCCAAAGGTAACGACAGAAAATCTTGACTGTCAGAACAAATGTGAAATATCTCGTACTTTTGTTTGCTTTGCATGCTTTGAAAACAAGTATGCATGTTTGATTATAGTTGTGTTCTTTGCGCTTCAAAAAAAAGAGACGGCGTTAGAGTCGAAAATCCGCAAATTCATTCGTACTCTTCCTTTGCTAACTGTTGATCGTTTCTTCAATCAGTCATCCAGCGTAGCCGCTATTTCTGAGAGTTCTTCGGATGTGGACTAGTTCTTTCTGGATTTCACTGTCGTCTGAGCATCTGCTAATTAGAGTGCTAGCAATACTTGTCTTCACGCAATATGGGAGGAAGGAATTTATTTTATGCGTTGGCTTGTAATACACATCAAAAGCGTACTCTTCCTCTTTCTTTTTCCTCATTAGCGTCCAAGGAAAGTTATCGAGTTGTTTTGCTCTAACTCCATCGTGAGTACAATGCATTAATGTGATCCACGGGGGTCAGGGGCGCCTTCGTAACTTTTCACGGATAGTGAATATGTCATCAGCGGACTTTCTAAACAATAGGGGTGGATTTTTCTGTTGGAGGAGGTGAATGTCAGTATTTTTAGATGTTCCATAAAAAATTCCGCTAGAACTGATGACAACCAGAACCGATGAATGAACCGTTGGTTTGCTGGTATGGTTTGACATTGAATCTGAGATAACCATCGTTCGCCAGGTAGATCCTCAAGATATCGACCATCGTAGTCTTCTTCGCTAACTCTGTGTCAACCTCGAGCATCTGTTCTACCCGAGTGAAGACTCCTTTGAGTGGTAAACTGGTGACCAAGCTGTTGACATCGTAGCTGACCATAAATATTCCTTCTTTACCTTCCAGTTGACGAAGATCCTTTGTGAATTCACTGGAATTTTTGATCTGCCCATTCATCTTCCCGGCGTAATTCCAGGCTAATAGGCGTTAAAACTGAAGAAATACTGTAATTGTTTGAGACAATCGGTTACATTGGTTTTTCATACTCGTAAAGCTAAAATCCTCATTGTGAAGTTT